TGTGTCTCGCTTGATTTTGGCTGTTTTTTGACTATGCTACCCCAGCTCATAAACCAGTCTGGAGGGGTTTTTTTTACCTTCAGCCAAACTGAGTCCAACAACTCATTATTTTGTTAACGGACCACTCCAAACACCTAGAGCACTTTTTTTGCGAAGAGAGTGTGCTTTTTTTTTTATTTTACAAAAAAAAATATACAGATTTCAATAGAAATAGTTATACATTTGCCTTGCTACTCCCCTCTGACTGTCTATAAAACAGCAGGTCCTGTTTACTTACATAGAAACATAGAATGTGACGGCAGATAAGAACCATTCGGCCCATCTAGTCTGCCCAATTTTCTAAATACTTTCATTAGTCCCTAGCCTTATCTTATAGTTAGGATAGCCTTATGCCTATCCCATGCATGCTTAAACTCCTTTACTGTGTTAACCTCTACCACTTCAGCTGGAAGGCTATTCCATGCATCTTCCTGGTTGTTTACTCAAATGACAGGTCATTGCCCAATAATTACACTTGCAGGGTTAAGTGTGAGTTGGCACCCAGACCATTTTAATGGGCTAAAGTGGCCTGGGTGCCTACAGTGTCCCTTTACATGCATGCATGTTTTCATTAGGGTATATCTACTAAATAGGGATTTTTAAAAATGTGTTTGCATTTGGGCAGTGGAGTATCCCTTTAAAAACCCCCAGGGTATTTCTGTGTATTTCTGTGCCTTATAGTCTATCTCTAATTGACTGAGTTATTGCTTACTTACATCTTGGAAGCTGTTTATAGTATCTTTGGTAGTTGCTGTGTTGATAGTTTCTTTGTCCTCCAGGCGAAGGTCAGAGCATTGATTAAATGTTGCATTTCCTAAAACCAGCTGTGCAATGTTTTTGTTTTGATATCATTCTGTAATATACATGCAGATGAGGTTTATTTAACAAAATAGGGTTTGCGAAAAATCAATAACGGGTTTGTAAATGTTATGATGAATTAAAAACAAGTCTTCAAATTTGACATTGTGGCAAAACCGGCCTCGCCACGTGTCCTTGGAGGGGGCTGCTTGCCCGCCTCTTGCCTTTGGACTATGGACCAGACTTTATGTGAATGTGTTATACCCCAGATAGGAATCCCATGGAGCCCATTCGTATGAAACTGACTGTAAAGACTTTGGCTCCATGGCGATTAAACTATATTTGTGTGGTCCGAGCGCCCTTCACTTAATAATGTGCGCTCAGACCTGAGCTATCTGGGGATATGTGAAATGTCTGTGTGTTATGTGTAAAATGTGACTTTATGTATTTTAAAGTGTTTTGTGTCTTTTTGCAACCATGTGCTTAATGGAGTCTTGTGTCTGTCCTGGGAGATAATTGAATTATTTATCTCCAGGATAGAAGACTCTGAAACTGGTTTGGGCCAGAAAGCCATGCTTCATTTAGTCACAAAGGACTTTTTACTAACTTTTGAACCCCTTGTCTGATTTGTGCCATTTTTGAATATGTTGTTCCCCTGAATGGATTGATTGTGAATATGTAATTTTTATGTGAATGTGATGTATAGTTTTAAAGTTATGAAAGTTGGGTAGAAAGTATGTTTTAACTGTATGTGTAATTGAGTTTCCTCTCAGGATAAGGGGAGGGAATATGTGGGATGTAACTGTGATGTGATTGGTTGTTTTGTAACGCCCTGTGGGCTGTACTATGTTTGTGGATTGGGAATAAAAGAGACTGTATGTGACAGTACAGGGAGTTCCTGCTTAACCCTCAAAGTGAAGTGTCATCTCATTATTGGGGGAAGGATTTATTGTATGCTGTCCCAGTTTGACTGCTAGGAGAGTAAACCTATTCGTATGGTTCCTATTCAACTGTCTACAGCATTCATATGCTTGAGAGCACTCATATGCTCCTACAATTCGGTGGTTGTGGTGTCTGCTGCAGTGCTTGGAGTCCTCTGGAAGCGCTAGGAGCATCCTTCAACGGAGGTACCCAGTCGGGGTGCCAGGCGATCCGTTACATTGGTGGCAAGCGGTGGGATGGCGTTCTAGTGCGAGGTAAAGCAGCTCAGAGACACAGTTCGTGGATTTACAAATTGAAGGCGACGCTAGTGTTCATACAGCGTCCCTGTCTACATAAAGATTTGGGAAAACCAGCACTACTTCAGAGATGGAAGGCCGTGCAGTATCTCACTTTGACGCCAGGCTCCAGCAGCGACTACAGGATGTGATGCGCAGTATGGAGTATCCTATCCCAGAGGAAAGAGAGACAGAGTGGAGGGTGGCGCTTCGTACCGATCTCTGGAAGGAGGACATCAACGAAATTCGACCCTTCCGGTGCGAGGAAATCCTGACCACTAACCAGCGCCAAGCAGAACAACTAGAGCTGCGGATGCCGTTATTGGGAAACCAGCCCTCAAAGGAATGGGTAAGCGAACTGGAGACGCTAGTTGAGACTGAGGTGTGGCTGGATGATTCCTATCGGGCCCTGCGGTGGCATGTTTACCACCTCTACCCATGGCTGATTGAGTACAAGTGTATTGAGGGGGAACACTATGACGGCCCTGGTTTGTTGTGGGATACTATTGAAACTAGTCTCTGGTTCGGAGACACCGACATTGCTCGCTTCTGGTCCATCCGAGCTGAGCGGGCAGACAACTGGGACCTTACGGAGATCGATGCCATTCAGCCAGATCTATCTTTTCTTGCCAACTGGGAGTGGGAACTAGAACAGGATTATGTTTGCCTATTCCAACGTGTAACGCCGCCTGTCTCTGACATGATGGGGCTTATTGACTGTATACCACCGGAAGCATTGAGTTTAGTTCCTCCTCCCCAGCAACCAAGCCTGTTATCAGGAGACTTTGGTACTGTACCACATATTTCCCAACCAGCCCCAGAGATGGAAGACCTTATTGACTTGTCCTGGGAAGACACCCAGCTGGCAGGTGGGGATGGGACCGAGGTCTCTCTACAGGCCCTACAGGGATGCTGGGCAGTCAGCCCAGATCCCCAGCGGCAGTATGTATCCCAGGGAGCTGAAGGTGCTGTACTTCCTCCCCAGCGGCAGTGTGTCCTGCAGGAAGCGGAGACAGTCAGTCTCGCTCCCCAGCAGCAGGGCAATATATTAAAAGGGGAGACAGTTGGTCCCCCTCTCCAACAGCAGAGAGTGTTCCAGGGAGAGGAACCGGTTATCACCTCTCCCCAGCAACAGGACAAATTATTGAAAGGGGAGACAATCGGTCTCCCCCTCCAACAGCATAGAGAGTGTCAGGGAGAGGAGCTTGTTATCCCCTCTCCCCAGCGGCAGTGTGTATCCCAGGGAGCTGAAGGTGCAGTCCTTCCTCCCCAGCGGCAGTGTGTACCCCAGGGAGCTGAAGGTGCCGTCCTTCCTCCCCAGCGGCAGAGTGTCCTGCGGGGAGCAGAGACCGTCAGTCTCGCACCCCAACCACAGGACAAAATAATGAAAGGGGAGACAGCTGGTCCCCCTCTCCACCAGCAGAGAGAGTGTCAGGGAGAGGAGCTTGTTATCCCCTCTCCCCAGCGGCTGAAAGTATGTATGGGAGAGGAGCTCGTTACCCCCCCTCCCCAGCGGCAGCGTGTACCCCAGGGAGATGAAGGTGCCGTCCTTCCTCCCCAACGGCAGTGTGTACCCCAGGAAGCAGAGACCATCTGTCTCGCACCCCAGCCGCAGGACAAAATATTGAAAGGGGAGACAGTTGGTCCCCCTCTCCACCAGCAAAGAGAGTGTCAGGGAGAGGAGCAGGTTACCCCCTCTCCCCAGCAGCAGTCTACAGTTCAGAGAGAGGAGCTTGTTACACCCTCTCTCCAGCGGCAGCCTACCCCACCAAGGGGAGATGTTAAGCCCCACAACTATGCAGATGGGACCAGAGTCTCTGCACTTGCAGCACCAGGGGTAGGGACGGTCGGTCCTGTCCCCCAGCCACAGGGCAGTGTATCCAGAGGGGAGACAGTCGGTCTCCCCCTCCCACAATCAGGCTCCAAACAGGCTACTTCAGTGGTAGCGCTGGCACCGGGCAAGTACGCTGGTCTCTGCCCACGCAGCAACCCACCAAGTCAGCGTACCCGTACCCAGCACAGCCGTGGTGAGGCACCTGGACATGGACAGGCTTCTCCTTTACCCAGGTGTAGTAACCATTTATTGTGGGTGGGCTGTGCTGTTGATTATTTGTTGTGGGTGGGCTGCTGGACTAACAAGGGCACTGACCGGCAGGAAGTCAGATACCCTGT